TTAAGTTTTGTTATAATAAGAGTTAAAAGCAGATGATTGTGGAAGGTTTTGTTAAAAACCAATTGGTATTGAGAATATAGAAAGTGGCCAGATGACTATGTAATAAAGATATAAATAGTGTGAGATGAGCGGGAAGCAGCAGACAGACAACAACAGATAGATAATAACAATAGGGAATATAGTTGTGTGAAGTTAAGTACTATAGATGTAATAAGCCTAATGTTTAATATGTTAAAGTGAAACTAACAGTATAAAAAAAGATAAGAAGGATAATTTTATTCCATCAAAGCGTGGTTCTAAAGTAATTGAATCAGCCTGGGTACACTTTGACAAAAGGAACAGAGGATCTTCAGAAGAAAAAGAATAAACAAATTACGGTAATTTGTGCCACAACTGTAAGTGAATCACACACACAATACTAGTATGATAGTAATATGGAGAAGATAGTCAACTTGTAAACAGGAAGAAGAAGAGAACTATATATAAATAGTGCTTATGATATGCCTGTAATCTCTATAGTGTGAAGACTTTGTTGTACATAGGTTTAACTTGTTCCAAATATACATATATATTATTTGAAAACAAGTAAAGTGTGTGCTGTTTATTCATCATCGAAATTATTGCTAACAAGTCACAGACACCTACTGGAGAAGAATCCTAAGCCCAACAACAACATAGTATATATATAATATTATATTTTTAAAATCTGACATACACTATGATCCAAGGCATTGATGTATTGACTGCACATTCTTTTATTTATTCATCATTATTTTCAGGAAAATTACTGTGGAATTCCTTCAATATGCATCAACAGGGGTTTTTCACAAAACTCCAACTTATCATTTTTTGACAGGTCGGGTAGTTAGTGTTTAGTATAATTCTGAATTTATTTTACGTACCTTCATAAAATTTTGCAGGTTTTAGTGTTCATTACAAACTTGTTACACACAATAAAACCAGATTGAGGTGTTCTCAGTAAAGATAAAGCAAATGGTTAATGTATTATCAAAAAAAAAAACTCACTTGTTTCAGGTGTTCTCAGTAAAGATAAAGCAAAGGGTTAATGTATTATTAAAAAAAACTCACTCGCTTGAGGTCTTCTCAGTAAAGATAAAGATAATTTTACTGACATTTAATAGACATTCTATTTTTTAAGTGTTTTATTTCTTGTACAAAATATAAATAAACTTGTAATGCATCTTATGGCATAAAATATGTCAATATGGAATAAGTAATCATGAATAAATGACAACTTAAGCACACCTTGGACCATATGCACTCCAATTAGAACGAAGGGGTTGTCTTCCAGTACTATAAGGATAAGTCCGTCGACTTGAGTCACTACTTCTCTCTTTACGAATTCCTTCTTCATAGAGGTGACCAACTTGGGCATCAATTGCTGTCAAGTCTTCTACAACACGCTTCATGACAGCTCGAACATTCCGTGGTTCAATGGTATTTAACCAATCACGTGTTTCAACACTTTTTCTTAACATCTAGGAGAAACAAATGTCATTTATTTCTTATATATTACATTATTTTATGAAAGCTAAGTTAAATGGTTTAACCCTATATGTGTGTAGAAATCAAAGTGCACATCATGATCTTTTACACAATTACATTCAAAATTTCATTAAACAGCTTTATTATCAACCTTACTAAATAAACTTGCCATTAAAGCATAGCTTATAATTCAGATTTTGATGATATAAAATTTTAATTTCTTAATTTGAAAGGGAAGTATTTAAATAATTTCTCAATCTTCACTTCTCTTTTTTCACGTAATACTTGTTCACTCCAAATTTCCCATACCAGCTCTCACTTCTACCCACACATGGCCTCCTGAGTTTGGAATAAATTACATACTTAAAGTATAGATGCTGCTAAGACATAATATTAATTCATCACGTCTAATATTCTGACTCTACCGAGTCAAAATCCGGAAAGTCAAACTCAGATGACACACACTCCTATCAAATCCTATTGTTAAAAAAAAATGTCAATAATTCTCTCTGGCATTTGCTACTGGAATATTTACAACCAATATAAAGAGAAAATTTTAATTTACTGATTTGTGTATAATGGCTAGATCATTCCAGTGAAAATTTTTCAATTATTTGGCCAACAGTTTCATTGTTGCTAGCCCCAATATCACTTGAAACAGGTAATGGAATTATTTTACTACACTTATAAAAATGTCAGTTAAATTACAAAAGTTTCAGAAAACTTGTTTCTTGTTTGTTAATATTTTGTGGTCTAAGTTGCATATTTGAATTAAAAAAGAAAATAATTTTACACACTACAAACTACCATAAAATAGGGTTATGTTTTGATGAAACATTGATAATCAAGTGCAAGATCTCACACACAAGTATTAAATTTCTTGTTTTTATTAAGGTTCTCATTCATTGTTATAAAAGTAACTAGAATGTAAGAATTTGAAACTTATTAGGTTAGATATATAGAAAAGAATACTTAAGTGAAAAAAAATAAAAAAATTATCTGCAAAGTATGCACAAGATCTGCTCATGTATTGTGTAATTTGATACTTTGTTTATTGCAACTTGAGCTATGCTCTCACTGGATGATTTATTGTTTTATTATGCTAGTTTAGTTATTATGCATGATTCAAAGACTAATAAAACAATAAAATTAAATGAGAGCATTTGTGCAAAATATAAAGGTCTAAAGCTGTTATGATAAATAACTGTAACTGTCTGTTGCAGTCTGCAGTCAATCGAGAAAAACAAATGTACTTTTGATTTTATTTCATACTTTTCAACTTTCACTCTGATGATTTTGCTAAACTTTTTTGTTTAGGTAGAGAAAATAAGATAAAGTATCATCAAAATTATAAGATATAAAGAAGTATTTGTATTCTAAGTATGAAATTTGCCTTGCACTTAAGACTAGTCAGACTGACTTGTTAAATTCACAGACAAGTCTTAATAAAAATACTTTAGTGAAAAATCTTAATTTTTGTAAGCAAAAGAATTTCACATCTAATAAAATCTTGCCAAATTTTATGAAGATACACATAGTAAATTTGGAATTATACTAAACATTAATTCTTCAATACAGGAATGGACTCTGTGCACACAGGATTAAGCTTATAAGAAATACAAATATCATGAACTCAATATTCAGGTGAAAAACAGATTAAAAATATATTTTTGAGAAAATAGAAACTAATATAAAATAGTTTCCTATATTCGACAATATGAAGGTAACAGAAAAGGATAACTTATGTAAAGAAATACCTGGGAGATATTCAATCCCTGCACACGGACAAAATGATTTAATAGTTTCTGAAAATAAGAAAAAATTTGAAACTGTACTATATTAGGATACAATGTAACAAAATTATTCCAAGCTAAAACACAAGTGAAGCTTTCATATTTAATTGCTTAACTTTGGAATATAATATCAACAAAAATAACCTCCCCAAAGGAATTTCTTTCTTACAGTTCCAAGGATCTCAACAATCAAATTAAAACCAGTTTTTATGTCTAAGACAGAATTAAAGTAGTAAATAGATTAAAAAAAGCAAAACATTTCACTTTAAGTCTACAAACATTAATTAAAAAAAAAAGTATAGGATGTAGTTTTAACCCTAACAACATGGGTCATATTCAAAAGTTTGGAATCAAACTGTAGATTATAATTCGATTTTTAGGATTATACATTAGTTAATTTCTTTGTTTAAAAATAAATATAAAAAAAAACTAAATATCAATTTTTGTGTGTCATGTGGTATGTTGAATGCAGCATTGGTTCAAATGTTTGTGATGTCCAAATACAAAGTCTGTAATTTCATACAAATTAGATACTCAGATATTGATAAGCTAGAATGTAAAATAAGAACCTCCTATCTTTTATATTTTCTGAGATATCAATATATTTATTGAATCAACCAAAGTGGCTCTGCCCACCTCTTCAATTTTTTAAAATACTTCCTTACACACACCAACATTGATCTATGATGTGTGTATAACCAATCAAAAGCTCAGAATTTCCCCCTAGTGATTTTCTCAGCGTCTGCAAAGTATTTACATGGTAAACTCTGTCTTTTCATGCTAGATTCCAAGCGGTAAGGTAAGACATTAGTGAGCTTGAAATTTCATAATTTTTTAGACCAAAATACAGCTGTAACTAAGCCCGATAAATTATAGTGGAATTCTGTGGTAGTGATATAGTAATTTATGATTTTTGGTTATTTCAAAATGTATATATAAAGCCTAAAAAAATCATTGTTTCACATCCTTCCTGTGTGAAATTTGATAAGGCTTAGCAACCTATGGTGAGTACAAAGTTTGTAACTAGAAGAGATAATTGTTTGCTATACTTCTTTATTTACTATTCTATGGTTTAAGAAAAATAGGTTTAAGAACTTATTTGTAAATAGTAATAATATATTATAACAAAAATGTGATTGTATTTTACAAAATATTAGCCCACTAAAACACAGCCAAGACAGGTCATCTTGTAAAGGCCAGTTTTATATTCTTGGATATGGTAACACAAGTGCACTTGCACAGCATCATTGCAACTTCTGTAATGTTAGCCAGGCATGGCTGAAAGGTCAATATAATAAAAATAAGAAAGACATATTGATGTATAATGTTATGAGATTTAAGTTATTTCGACTAAATATTTGTGTTGTCGTGTTATAATTTGCAGTCATTTTGGAATGAAAAAAGCATTATATTTATTTCCTAATTTTTATGGTTATGAGGTCAGTCAAAGCTACTGAGCCCGTACAGAGATACAGTAATGAAAATAACAGATAAAATACAAAGTTTTTTCTAAAAAAGTTTGATAATTATCTGGAGATTATAAAGATTTTGTGTGAGAAATTTGAAAATTTTCTGATGCATAAAAGAATTTTTAATCTTAAAATCAAAATTACTTTGTGTATTGGATAGTCAACATTCCAAAAGAGAAAAACGTTACTTAAGAAGTCTTAAAACTTGATAAAAATATAAGATATTTTGCATATGAAAGTCATGTAATGCTTACTGATAATCTTCAAAATTTCATGAAGACATGCTTACTAATTCAAAATTTATAGCATGAAAACTATAATAAGCACAAAATGATTATGAGGTCAGTCCCTGGGACTAGGCCTGTGTTGAAAGAGTTAACCTAGTTACTTTTAACTTGGTTTTAAAATAACAAGTTTTTATTTATTTATTCCTGTAAGTTTGCTGAAGTAATTTTCTACAGCACCAGTACTTTGACTTTTCCATAACATTTAACCAAAAACTGTTAGCTTTATGATGCTTCATTTTAAGCACTTCGGTATATTATAACTACTACTACTACCAGAAAAAAATTAAAAGACATAGTTATTTTACTATTGGTGAATTGTGTACACGTGTATCTTGGTGTTTACTATTTAGTCCTAAATGTCATACTCAAAAGTAGATAAAGAATTTTCATGTCTAAACACAAAACTCCATACAAAAGTAAGTTATCTACAAACAGTTTCCAAATAAAAATAATAGGATTCATTATAGAAGAAGCTTAATACCAAAACATCAATAAGTATAACCTGTTATTACTATCATTATGTAAACATGGGAGCATGTTTTTTTCCCTTTCACTTTGATCAACATAAGAACATTTAATTTAGTTAATAACCAAAATCTATACCATTTATAAGCTGAGAAAAATAGAGAAATTTAGATTTTATCAAATGAACATCTCAATTCAGAATTGTGCAGTAGTTTGAAGAATATCATAAACTTGTGTATTAATAATAAATTTTTACTTTGTGTGTATGGTGGAAAGTATTGAAGACAAAGTTAAAAAAATTTATTATATTGCAAGTTACAGTTTTAGCAGCAAGGAAGATTAGTTTAAGAACAGGTAAGACATTTTGATCACTGGTGTGATCATTCTAAACTACACAAGTTTCATTTTCACCTCTGGAATGAAAATTAAACACATGTTAAGAAAATTATATAATGACTCAACCCACCTGGTAACATATACAAAATAAAATGTAACAACTGCCCAGCCTTTTATGTAGGTGAAACAGGATGTAACATGAAGATCAGGTTAAAAGAACACCAGAAACCCCCTTCTTTAGTCCATGAAAATATGAACAAAAACAACCACAGTTTTTCTGAACAGAATGTCACAGTACTAAGACACGAACCTGACATTAACAGAAAAAAAAACAGAGAAGCCTTACTAATATAATCAAACAATTCCATAATTAACAAATATCCAGGCACATCTCCATATGTCTTTGATCATTATTCCCCTAGACTTTCCTAATATAATGCATATATTTTGTATATTTCACATCTTTATATTTATTCAGTTTTGTTTATCAATTGACATGGATTGATATGCACATGCATAAACAGCCACTATCAATTCTAAAATTTAAATACATTGTTAGATTGTTGAAGGTCATATTAAATACTAAAACCTTCTTTACTGTTAAAACTTGTGTACTTGAGAATGGTCACACCAGTGATTAAAATGTCATATCTGTTATAAATATAATCCTCCTTACTGTAAGAGCTGTAAGTTATAATAAAATAATACTTGATCAGTAAGTAAACTATTAAGAAAAAAATATAGTTTTAAACTAATTTGATCCAAACTATACATCTCTGATTACAAAATTAATAAAGTTGTGTACATTTAAGCTATCTGAAAGCCTCACCTGTGCTGTTTCTTTGGTTTCTCGACATAGTTCAGACCCAGAAGTCATTCTATGGATATCATCTGTTGTGAACTGTTCATCTGTAAGGGAAAGCTGTCATAATAGAAAATAACAAAAAATAAATTTCTAACACAAGACAGCCAAACTTATACAGGTAAACACGATGAATAAAACTATGTAATGTTTCAGTGAGAATAAATATTGAACTATGTTGTAAGAGTATCTTAGTATCAAAGTAATTTTGGATATATACAAAAGTGTACGTAGTAGTAGACTCAAATATTAAATTCATAAAACTGAAAGAAAACTTAGTGTGACATATGTTTCAAATTTGTTACTAATGAACAAAACTTAAAACTCATTACTTGAACCGATAAGACAATTAAATTAAAAACTCTGATAAGCAACAAAAAAATCTTACGCTCTGATGTTATCAGTAATAAACTGTAGTTAAAATTTAGTGACATGTAATAGTATTTCTAGGTTTCCAGTTATAAAGCAAAATAGGATATCCTGATTATTCCTTGTTCAAGTAGCCTCTCATTACTTCTTACAACCATATTTTCCTTCCATTTATTTACTTATTGGCCTATTCTACAAATAAACCATAATGATATTTTAAATGTTATATATTAATATAAATTTTTTCTGTACAAGCTCCTAAGCTTTCGAACACTCTCCCTATCGAGCTGCAATATTCAAAGTCTGTCAGGTCTTTTAAAAGTCTTTTGAAGTTGTATCTATTTCACCTGGTTTTTGACTAATATAGAGACTGGTAAGTTACAGGCACTTTGAATGGCTGGCAATAGCTAGAGGAGTGTGGTATAAGAAATTATATTATTATTATACCATGCCTATATGGCAATACCCTACTCAAATTGTACTATTAAACCATGCCACATATCATATACCCATTTCTGTTTATATTTTACAATTTATTTTTGCAGAATATTCTTCACTGAATCAAGAGTTGAACCTTTAAGTAGTTATGCAGGTGATCCCAAAGCAGAACAAAGCACACTTGAGTCAAATGATGAAGAACAAGAAAATGAGATAAACTTCCACAGCATTTCCAATATCATTAGTAGTGAGACAGAGTCCAGTGATGATTGCTTTCTCCCCAAGCACCTTCGATGCATGGTACATACACTCAATTTCATAGCAACCAATGATGTAGAAAAGGGCTTTGAATGTGTCCTGATCAGCATTTGCGAAAGCCCAGATGCTTTGGAACAAACAGAGCTGCAGCACCATAGAAGTTGACCTTAAACAATAAGAACTGGGCAAATGTTTTGTTGTTCCATGAGCTATGTGGTGGAATTTGATAATAATGAAAAAAGAGGGTTCAGTCAATAAAGTGTGTGATGAGCTGGGCATTGCTCGTTTCACCTTTGAGATATAAATTTCATCATATTCATTTTTTTTGACACTGTATTCCGTAAGTACTATTACTGAATGTATCGAAGGCTGTATGGTTGATAGCTGCTTTCCTCTCATCATTCGTAAATATGAATAGGCTTTTCTGAGAGTCTGTATTATGTTATCATATTAATAAATTAGCATTTTCCACTGACAAAAAAGTATTGTGAAAAATGTCATTTTCAAAACTAGTGGTAGTGATAGCACTGCTATATTTATAAATATGTAGCAACAACAGTAGCACCACAATATTTTTCTTCTTGTAGAGGTAGCAGCACTCCATTGAAGAGATAATGTGCATAGCTATGCTGAGATAAAATCATAAATATGCTAAACATGGTCAGCTCACTAAGTACAAAAAATCTCTAGACTTACCAGCATCTCAGTACTTTGTAGTCACAAGGTGCATGTTTTAAAAGAGCCAAAAGTGTCCTCACAACACACATTTTCTGTACAGACAACTAATTTTGTGTTTGATTCTATGAAATTGGTGATACACCCTCCTGATGTGATAGCCATAAACTAACTAAGATGTAGGACAGCAATACAGCCACCTCATGGGTTTGTTTGGTTTGAATTTTGCACAAAGCTACACAAGGGCTATCTGCACTAGCCGTCCCTAATTTAGCAGTGTAAGACTAGAGAGAAGGCAGCTAGTCATCACCACCCACCGCCAACTCTTGGGCTACTCTTTTACCAACGAATAGTGGGATTGACCGTCACATTATAAACACTATGCATCTAACATATCCCACTCACAGCACCAGAAAAGCTAGACTGGCATGTTACTGTAGTATTCTGAGAATTGGAATATTAAGATACATAATTCACTTCATCAGTGCTGTAACAAATGAGCTGAGGGTTTATTTGGTTAAACGATTAAGTGGAATATAATTCAATGCAATGTAAAATATACAGAAAATGAGTAAACAGGACAAAATTGAATAAAAGCCTTTAGACTAAAGGCCGAAAATTGATGATGAAGGTACAAATGTGCACGGCACAACAGCTCACTAACAATACAAAACAGTAAAGAAAACTTTAACTTCATCAGCACTTCCTTGGCTCTTTCCAATCATATACTGAATTCTAGAAATCCAGTAATATAACTACATCAAGAGATAGTTACAAGTTTAACCTTATTCAAAGATAGTGGTTAGCAGTACAACCACCTCATTTGACAGAAGAACCATCCTTGTTTGACTGCTCCTATAATCTATCATTTAGGTCTAAATTTAGAACATGGCTTATAACTAACAGATGTAAAGCTTTTATAAAATCTTGATAACTGATATGAACATTAAGTAATATATTTTTCAGCACGAGTCGATGTGATTACCATCCACTCAAATAGGGAAGGACATTTATGCAACTAAAATATGGTAACTCTGTGTGTTCCTCACAAAAACTAGTAAGATGTTGTAAGAGTTTATAAGTATCTTTTACACAAAGAATGACATAATTTTAATTACATCTTTCTAATAAAAATGTTATTTATCTATAGTAGTTATTTGCACTCAAACTGTGAATAGTTCAAATGCAAGGTGATTTTCATTTTAAGTATAAAAATACTTTTCTCTATCTTAGTTTTCATATTTCATTTGCATAACCTCTAGAACCTCCTATATGAATATCAAAAGTTTTTAAAGGTAAACGTTTATATACAATTTTTCATTTTCTATACCATATCATTAACTCTAGCTATTATCATCAATGTACAATGCAATTAAATGATTAAAACAAGGAAATAGAAAAAGAGCACATACCTTTTAATTTTTTGTAGAATATCTTTAAAGATTTTCTATTTGTTAAGTTCATAATTTCAGGTCTATTCATTTTCACATCTAGTTAATTTTTAATGTTTTATTTTCCTTTCTTGTCCTTTACCACTTATTATTCATCTCAACACAAGTCAGCGGTGCCCTTGGGGTATATTACAGTGTTTTTGGGAGACATGCGCAACCCTTGATAATGGATGCAAAGTATAATGTACATTTAAAAAATGTTTATACCTTTCAATTATGGATTTAAAAACATAACTAATACATAATTAATTAAAATATATTAGTAAGATCTAAATGAAATTTAACCTGTATCTCTAATTATAACATATTTAGGTAAGAAACAACTGTAAGTGCTATAGTCGATCAAGCGGCCAACAATACTAAAGTCAATTACATGTACTCTGTGTTGAAAACTTAGCACCAATTTCAAAATAACCATTGTTAGATTATATTGTAAAATGACCTCTTTTTGATGAGTATACACATGTGTATGTAACATCTACACGTAGACTACAAAGCTCAAACAAATCTGTTGAAGATGGGCGTAGCACCTGTCACACTGTTGAAAAAATCTACTACTTGTTTTAACTGTATTCATTCAGAGAACTTTGAAATGTGAAAGTCAAAAGGTTATGTAAGCATCTTATTGTCTAGACATACCTCTACTCAATTACCATTGTATTAATGAAGATATAGAGAGCCAAAGTAGAGAATTTTCATAGCTCATTGGTCACGTGACAATACATCTGAAGTTTTAAGCAGTTTTTTTAAAGGTTTATTTTTAAATGAAGGACTTAACTTAGCTAAAATAAAACTTCAAATCATAACATACATTGTAATATTAATTTCATTCACATACATAGATAATAAAGGTGTTTAATTAAATTTTTAATGTAGCACAGTGACTTGTGCAGAAAAGCATTTAAAGGGGCACCCATTGAGAAAGGGTTAATTAGTTTGATCTATATATTTATATCCTATTTCAGGAGTGTAGCCTACAGTACGGAGTGGAGGGGATCTTTTTCAAAGAAAATGTGGACCTTTTTCTTTTACACAAAAAAAGCCTAAATTAACCTTGTAAAACAAAAATATTTCAAACTTAAAGAGAGTACAAACAAAAAGAAACTTAACTTACTTACACATAATAAGGTGCTGAGTTGTAAATGTCTTAGGTAATCAAACATTATAGGCTTTTTTAGAATAGTGTGATGGTTGTTTCACCCCCCCCTCTCCAGTGACACCCTCTGTACTTTTGATCTGGTGTTCTTAGTAAATGGAAATCTGGTTCTTAAAACCAAAATTAGTCACATCTAATCAGCAGTAAATGCTTCTTTAGCAAAAGAAGAGTTAAAAGTAAGATAATTGCTTAGTGGCTTGTAGCATATTTTAAACTATATTTGATGATACTGCGTCTCCAACTTAAAACTGACTCACCAAGAATCCAATTGAAGAAACTTCTAGATCAAAGCAGAGTCGTGATAACAAAAGTAGTAAAGAAGGAGGAGGACAAACTCCTTTGTCTCCAGCATTTTGGCAGAACTCCTGAAGAGGTAAAACACAAATCATTGACATTTTCTCAATTCCTATGAAAACTGACTAATGTATAAAATTTAATTCTGAATATTTACATAAAATTAATAAACTACTATTCTTCAAAAATTTTAACTATGCTATATCTTTTACTTAATTTTTACTTTATATTTCATAAAAACAAAACTCACATTTGCTACAGTGTTAATGTGATGGATAAAAGCCACTATCACTCCTTCACGAACATGATCATGACAGAATGGCTCCCAGAAGTTGGGTTTCATAGCAAAAGTGTTATCTGGCCGTGTGAAAGCCTGAAAAAAATTCCCATAAAATATCACACTTTAACTATACCTGTAAATCTACTAAAAAACTTGCAAATCTGTAAATTTGTAAGAGTTTGTAAACAAAATACCTTATCATGTTTTAACATGATTTATGAACTTTATTAAATTTGTACTCATAGTTTGCTCTGCCAATAAAATAATTTTCCACATTCAAGATACTAAAAATATCAAGGTTTAAATGATATTTCAAAAATTGATTAGCAGCTTTTACTAATCACTCTTCAATCTGATTAGCAGTTAGTACATTTTGAATAGCAATGTAATAAATGTCTATTTTGGGCCCCTATACTATATTTGGTGTATACTTTTATTATCACATGTCCATGAAATATAAAATGCACTTGGTGGAGGGAAAGAAAATACCTAGTCAGAGGAATATAAAACAGATGCAAATGGTAGAAAATGCTAGGTATAACAAGGTAACCATTAACCTTGTTACTGTGTCTACTAAAACTCCATGATTATAATAATGAATTCTTAGGTTAAGTGAAATTGAAATTATCATAATACAAATTTATGCAAAAGTTTTAACCACAAGAAAATAATAATAAATCAAAATGATGTTATCATTTGAATATAAAGAAATATTTTTCATCATATCTCAGAAATAAAGTCACTTAATGTGTGTGGTCACACTGATTGACTGTCATTTGACAAACAGCGAATTCAACTTCACTAAGTTTATCTTTCTTGTCAATTTCAGTTAGGTTGCTGAGTGCACTGTTAGTTGTGGAACTTTCAACTTACTGGGTCTCCGCTATCAAGCTTAGATTTCTTTTCATATGGTTGGACATTAGGTCTTCTTGATGTGCTAAAAAAGCATACTGCATCTTCAGTCATAATCAGTGGGTCCTATTTTTTTTAAAATTTGTACAAGGTGTTCAAGGGTGTTAGAAGCAAGCCTGGCTTTCCAGTCAGTTTTGATCTTGCCCATTGTACTGTAACATTTTTTAATAACTGCATTTGCAAAAGGAAGTACTCTCAAAACTTCCACTGACTTTGTTATGTCAGGGAATTTATGTTGGAAGAAGTGACAAATTCTCTTCCAAGCTACTGATGTGAAGTGATCCAAGTCTGAAAATTACCGACAAAAAAAATCTTCATTTTATTCCACTCAGAGTATAGAATATCATGATTACATTCCTCCAAAACTGTGTTGAAATGTGCTTCTGTTAATGCAACTTTTGCATTTCTATATCCAGCCAGTAAGTCACAGTCATTTGACCAAAGCCATGTGTCCAGAATTTGAGAACAATTAAAGATTTTATCTACAAATGCTTCATACACCCAACATAATGTATTGAATTAAAAGAAGCAAGTTTTAATACACAAGTTGTAGCTATATATGCCATGAAAAATTGGTCAGGCCACAGCCTGACTTGCCTTACTTCTTCCTATGCTCTATTATCTGTTATTTCTCTATAACTATATACAGGGTCGGTCAATTTGACCAACCTCATAACCACCATAAAAAAATATGAAATAAATCTAAATTACCCTTTTTCTTCTTTCTAGAATGACTGCAAATTCTAAAAGGAAATTACTACTGTTTATCCTAAATAGCTTAAAGTTCATAACAGAATACATTTATTTATACTTTGTTTTATTGAGATTTGAACAATGTTGAATAATCCTGCCATACAAGTTGTAAATCACTTGGTGAAAGTGCAGCTCACACTACTGCATCATTATCTTACCCAATCTCAGTTAATAAGTTTCTAATTTTTACACCTTACTTACTTTTATAATAATAAAGAATACACACTAAAAATAAAAAATATAGCTTTTAATTTACTTCATCCTTGTATTCTGTATTTTAATTACTTTTTATAAAATGTTAAACTTTATGAAATTTTGTACCTAATAATTTACCATGTTTAATATAGCTTGCTGAAGATGGAATATATATATTCCGAAATGTTTGTTGTTGCTGCCATCATTCTATAGTTCATCATTAAACTTTGATTCCTGTGAAATAAAATCAAAATTACTTTGGATGTTGAATAGTCAACATTTCAAAAGAAAAAAATATTTAACTAAACACATGATATTTTCTGCACAGTCTTTTAACATTTATTGATAATCTGCAAAATTTTGTGAAGATAGGCATACATTAGAAGTTATAGGTTGATTATTCTCATAGTTACTTTGATGGTTATGTACTGGATAAAATGCACCCAGACCTGTAGTCAAAGAGTTAAATAAAACTTGTTTAGCACCATTAGTAGAGTAGGGTTAAGTTTCATTTACAGGAGACAGCAAAAAAAAAGACCTAGGTAAGTAACAGCCAAATAAAGACTAGGATAATGTAACAATTATAACAATATTATGCAAGTTTTCAGTTTAACTCTAGTGAAGCTGTGTTATTATTTAAAGTTGGGAGTTCATTTATAATAAATAAACTTTCTTTAGTTAAAAGTTCAGTACTGGATGATCCATATGATATGACTTTAAAATACATAATCAAGATTGGGTGGCTGTTCTTTTTACTATGTGTGTGAAACAAGGAGTCTGGTGGATTTGATAGATTTTTTTACCAGTTCTGCTTGATACTCCCATATGTTCGCAGGCTCGCAGACATAATTGGCACATAGTTTTGCCAATGTAAGTGGCATTATAACCATGACATGTGTATTTATATATAATCTTGAAATGCATAGGAATAGTTAACAGGTCTTTAGATCTGAATAGATTTTGTATTATGAAAGATAATTTAAATATCATTTGTAGCTGAACATGTGGATAAAATGTTTTAATTATTCTTAAAAATTTATGACTTCACTATGAAACTTTGCTTACCTAAAAAAGGAACAATTAGTCTTAATGGGTATTTGTCAACAGTGATGGTTTATTTGGGGTTCAAATTGTGAAAAAGGAACTTGTGTGTTAAGGCTTGAATAAAATGCAAGGGATAATTGTTGTTTATTAGAATGTTCTTAAGGGTGGTGATTACAGTATGAAGATGGAGGTAGTTAGAACAGACGTTATATGCTCTATTGAGAAGACTGAGTATAAGATTACATTTAAAGGAATTTGGAATAAAACTGTAAAATCAAGTATGTAAGCTTGTAAATGTTTTTTACAATAAACATGTGTTGTGAAATGGTTATCTAATTTGCTGATTTGGATATCAAGAAAAGGCAATTTACTATTGTTTCCGTTTCACAAATAAAATTAATGTTAGGGTGTTTTGAATTTAAATAATCCAAGAATTGTTTGATGTAAGTAGAGCTTCAAAAGAGTAAAACCATATCATCAACACACCTTCTATATAGAGCCAGTTTGCATTCAGTGAGACAGGTGTCTAACCAAGAATGTCCATAGTAACAATGGAATATGTTAGAAAGAGTCGACCCCATTGCCACGTCATGTATTTGGTCATATAACTGACCATTGAAAACAAAACAATTATCCTTGAGAGCAAGTTTACCTAACAGTTCGAACTGTTAGTGATTAAAGCTTGTGTATGTTTCATTTTTGTTGGGGAAAAGTTTCTTTAAGATTACTTGTATTGTTTCCTCAAATGGAATGTTTGTAAATAAAGATTCAATGTTAAAACTAGCAAGTGTATATTGATCAGCATTACTAATTTTATAAATTTCCTGTAGAAAGGAAAATGAATCTTTAACTGTAAATTCATTGCAATAGATTTAGAATAGGAAAGAAGAATTTACCAAATTTATAAATATTGGAACCAATGCTGGATAAAATAGGTCTCAAGCAGTTGTTATCTTTGTGAACTTTAGGTAACCCATACATGAGACCTGGGTGGGATTCTGAGGGGTAAATATTGTTACGACTCTGGGTTCGTTTGTTAATTTTCCATAGAAATTTTTCCGAAAAACTTCAGCAATACAAGTCTTTTCTTAAATAAAACTAGTTCATTTTTTCTCAATACAACTTTGCAATACACTTAATTTCCACAGTCACTTTAACTTCAACAAACACTATAATTCACAACGAACGATCCACGCACTTTACCTACTACTGCGCTTGACTCAATTGTCCGTCTCTATCTCTGTCTGCAATTCAATTCCGATTCATTGTCTGGCACACTTATATACAAGAATAGAGGGCGCCTAGCAAATACTGGATTATTCGTGATGTTCCCCGATCTTTCTAGAACTCATTACGTGTTATCAGTGTCACGTGACTTCTGCTGTCGTAACAATATCTTCAAGAACAATTTCTGAAATGTAATTGCAATGTTTATAATTTCTTAAAGTTTGTTGTATTTTTTCTTCATGTTTTACAGTGAGCTTTAACCAATCAACTTTAAGAGCTTTGAATTTTGTTATATTGCTGAGGATACATTGCATTTTGTTAATGTAATTTGGTTTATTAAGTACAACAGCACCTGTACCTTTATCAGGTTGGGTGATGAAGATATTAAACTCACGTAATCACATTATTCACACACATTCTGTATAGGATGAGAAACTCAAGTAGTCACATTATTTACACACAATCTTTATAGGATCACAAATTTGTGTATTCATGTTATTCATACACACTGTTTATTGTTTACTTGGCTGTCTTTTAATTTACTTCATCCTTATATTCTGTATTTTAATAACTTTTTATAAAATGTTTAAATTTTTAAACTTTTGTACCTAATACTTTACCATGTTTGATGTAGCTTACTGAAGGTGGAATATATATATTCCAAAACGTTCAAGAATTAAATGTTTATGACTGTATACACACGTGTTAAATGTTCATTGTTGCTGCCACCGTTCTACTGTTCATCATTAAACTTCGATTCCATCGATTGAATCTGTTGCTAGTGTTATTAAAGAGCAATATGAGAATGATGCTTTATGGTTAAAACTCGACCTCAAACTCTGAAAATTATCATTTGATATTTTTTATCAACTTGCAAACACCATCAAGTCATCTCCAAGTTGCTCTATTTCAAAACAATTAACCATTATCTGCAGAAATCTCCTGCGTATTTCTCATGTCAACGTTGTCTTTTGGAAGAACTGAAGTTGAAATTCAAACAGAAGAAACAGTCTAGCACCCAGCATGAATCAAAGAAGAAAGAACTAGAAAATAATGTATCATGGATTGATTACAACCACATGCTTAACATAATTAACACAAAAACTGAAACCCGCATGGAAAACAAACAGAATGTTAAGCTGAGTAAATTACTTGCACCTAAAAAATACCAACAGTATTGATCCTAACAAGGTGATTTTTAACTTTATTAGTGATGTTGAACTCAGTGAATTCTGTAAAAGTCCCTTAGCTAAGGGGCTAAAGTTTTGCTTGCCTTCCCCTAAACTTAAATTCTCTGGTTACCTGTTCCCCTTTAAGAACACTTAAAAATTTTTGAAATCTCAATCTATTTTCAACAGGAATGATGCTCAGAATCTAGGGAACTTTGTAAGAACAAGATTCAAAAATGCAGCTTTGTCTTCATTTTACAACTACAACTCCCATAAATCTGCTTCCACCATTACTCATGAAGAATATACCGCCCTAAAGGAATTAGCTAATAACTAAAATATCGTGATCACCTGACCTGATAAAGGTATAGGTATTGTTATACTTAATAAACCGAATTACATTTAAAAAATGCACTATACCCTCAGCAATGGAACAAAATTCAAAATTTAACCAAACTCTCCTAACTACAAGCAAAATAATATCATAATCAAGAGCGGGGTGAAGAAAAACAATGGTTTCTGAGTGTCCCCGATTATTGAGGCCTGTGAGAGTTCAAATCAGTACTACTGCCATATATTGTTTAGTGGTCCACGACATCTACCATGTTGCATTCTTTTACTTTAACTTTTACTTCATCAGCTTTCGGCATTTAAATTGTAACTTGTAAAGTATTGTTACAACAGCAGAAGTCACGTGACACTGCTGGTGCATTGGCACTGGTGGCATGTGCGAGGAGTTTCTCGAATGATCGTGAATTTCCTAGTTTGTTCGAGACACCCTCTTTTTTAGTATATAAGCCTGGCAAAGAAAGCCAGAAATATAGATAGATAGATTGAGGAAAGATAGATAATTGAGTCAAGTGAACAGTAGGCACCATAAGTAAAGTGTGTGAATCACT